GCTACTGCTGCCACCTCCACGACTGGCTGGGTCGTCTTGGAGGGTTTCTGTACAAACCCATGGCTCATCCGACATCCTTGCCGGTACCTGGCACTCACCTCGAGCTCTCAGCAATGCCTGCCCACGAAACACTGCGCAATCTCGTCAAGAGCGTGCCCGACCGTCATATTATCCCCCCAGGTCGTGAGCCTGACGACACGGTCTGCTCGACCGTCAAGATATCCAGCAAGAAACGTCAGACCTGACTTGCGCCCCCACGCAGATGAGCGACAGGCTACCGGCTGTCTAGCTGGTGTCAGCCCGTCCGCTGCAGCATCGTGCGCCGGCACTTTATCGTGCGATGGTCCCTGTGGCCCAACGGATGCTCACAGCGTCATTCGAGCAAGTTCACTACCCAGCGCGTGCCGCGGAGATGTAACATGGTGGTAGATTGTCGACCATCGCGTCGGCCTCCCATGTGCCCTCGATTTTCCGCGTTTCCGGGACGCGCGTCATGCTCTGCTTCGCGTTGCTCACGATATCAACCTACACGATCATCATGCCATTCGCGACATGTTCCCGGACCACGGTACAAACAAAACTCACCATCACGATGTCAAGCCTGCATGGTGCTTGCCAATCCACGCCGGATAACGGTCGCACGGAGTCATCGCATGCCTTGAAGCGGTCGCATGTCCTCCAAGTCTGGCGCGCTCAGCATATTCACGCGATCCTGACCGAACGTAAGCCATGGCGTAGCCATCCGTGCTTACCGTGGATAGTTGCGGAGCTCGTGGGCGCGCATGCGTCCATAACGTCGATAGGTACGCTGATCTTTCCTTCCAGGTCTTCATTCTACTGATCTCATCCGATATGGTCAGAAAGCGTCGACCGAGAGCAGACTTGAGAAGACGCTTACCCTGCCCGACAAGCACGAGGTCAACAAGCATGGCGCGTCCTTCGCACTGGGTCGGCAAATGACCATCTCCATGGCGGCGAGCTGGTTGTGCACATAAAAAGATGCTATCATGGAGGGCCAGGATGGTTTTCAGATGGGCACAGAGTGGGCTAGGATGTGCGGGCGTTGATTGGGAACACATTGGATGAAAGGGAGCGAGAGAGACGATGAAAACGCGGTTCGGAATCGGCGGAAATGGTTATTACTGAGCGGAAAAAGGTGAGTGCCAGATAGACTTGTGTGCTGTAGACATATAAGTCATGTTAGTAGTGTGTTAGAGAGGAGACGAAATGGAAATGGAAGGATTTACGGGAGCTGGCGTTGTGTGCTTCAAAACGACCAATGCGAGTCCCTCTGTGTATGGGCTATACTTTGAGCCCTATCTGCCGTGTACCAGCCCCCCTCTCTCACATTATCTGCGGTCGTCCGAGCTTCCTGTGAGAAGAAATATATTCGCGCGCTCTGTACACGGTCTGTCCGTCGACATTCGTCTGCGCGACTGCGAGCACGATGCGCGCGAGGAGCGTTCACGACTCGCATCGCAGTGTCTCTGCTGTCTTGTTCAAATGCACCCCTCGCTCTTTCCCTCCACACGACGCAGAGTCTCACCGTCACCGAAGGGAGGCGCACTCACCTGCATGTCAACCTACGGCCTCACCCACCACCTATCGCGAACACTTGAAGACTACAGACCCCTGGCTGGCTCGCTGCACTCACCCATATGATCGTTGCATGT